TTACTGAGCACATGGCAGGTGTGACCGGTCACTCCTCCATGGCACCTGATCCTACCTCTGATGTTTCGGAGGTCCGTGTTTGCTCTGCTCTTATTTTGTATTGTTTAATGGACTTTGAGATTGAATACTGTTCGTTATCTTTATATCCTTCCTTACTGATTCTTTACCATTCAGTTTTAATGCAGGGTCTCGAATTTCCCTTATTTTCCAGCTTCCTTGATCTAATGTAAAGTTGTCACATAAACTGTTATAAATTCATTAAAGATTTAATATTGAGAGAAAGTAAAGCTTAATGACATATGATATCTGCATGGTATGTCATAGAGTTCAGGACATTATTTATTGAACAGTCCTTCCTCTTACAAACTAAGCATGCATTGGTTCGATGGCACATACATTTTTAAAAGTTGGAAGAAATTGCAGAATATAGATTACTTAACAAATTGAATTAAAAACTTCATTCAACGCATATACGAGGGGTTATCAAAAAGTTCGTGGACTGAGGCTATAAAATTAGTACTATGTAATCTGTGTTTTCAAAATTTATTTGGAACATAAAACAACACAAAATAGAGAAATGTTGAAAATTTTAGCCTGATACGTTCATTATTTGCCAAATTATTATAAAATGAAAACGACATTATATGATCACCCGGCGCTATCGTCGTTTATTTTCATGACGTCCGATAACGTCATTGTTTTTTCAATGTCATCTTCTACCTAATACACTTTTTTGATGAGATTCCCTGGAGCTGAGTAAGGACTTAAACCCGCCTTGTTTTTGTGAATTTACAATGTCATTAACAGTGGCCTTCAATAAATATAATATTCCACATTCATTAAAACATTGGGAGAGATCCGCGCTTGATTGTTCCTGCACATTTTGCTTTTGGGAGTTCAACATCTTCAACACATGATCAATGTCATTTTTTGATTTTTTCACACCTTGACTGCAAATCGACATTAACTGTGTATCCGTTTTCTATGAATCTATTTTGACATTAAAGACAAGTACTCCGGATGCATATTATTTCTCTGTAGCCAGTTTCAACATATTTTAGGTCTATACTATTTTTTCAGGGGCAAATGTTAATATAATGTTCGAAACAAAGTTCCCCCCTTTTACGTATTTTCAAGGCCTCATTTGTTTAGACATTCCGTGTAAAATTTACGATAAAATTTCAAAGAACGTCCAGAATAAAGTGGAAATTTCATATTTTACAGAGCAATTGCGACACAACACATACCTGAATTAACGGGATTTTTTGAAGTCAAATAATCATATTAAATGAGTTTTTCTCAGTTACACATATGTCGAAAAAACGTCGTTTTCGAAGTTGCGCCGCTTGGACATACCATTACTTAGAAAAACATTACTAATTTATTAAAAATAAAATTCATGATTTGTGGTTTATTCTTTCGATAGAAAAGATGATGCTTACTAGATACTTCAAAATTCATTGATGTACCTTGAGCGGTTTTAATTTTATGGCGCTAGTCCACGAACTTTTTGATAACCCCTCGTATAGGTCTAGGTTTAAAAAAAAAGAACATTTGATTTGTACTTCAAAGCTCGCAAGAGAATATTACATACAGCAATCCAAATACAGCTTAATACAGTAATGTATGAACGGTTTTCAGGTTCCATTTGGAGGAGGGGAGGGGGCTCCGAAAAATATGCGTATTACAGAGCATCAGACCTATTTTTCCAATTATAGATTTCTTCTGTATAAATCCAAAACAGATGCTTAGTCCCAGCTATTATGGTTTATATGTATCAAAATAGACAGCGTTTTTATGACAAGACTATGGGCCAATCCGAGATAATATCAACAAAATTGTTATGAAAGTAATATCAGACAAAGTAGACAGATCATGATAGAAAATCAAAAGGAACATGCACGAGTATTCACTTAAACTAGAAATTTTCTTCAATTAAAATTTTGGTTAGAAACACATGCATATGATTCACGTATTTTAGTCCCCCTTTTTAAAGGACAGCAGCTTGTTTGGCAATTAATGTACAGTTTTTTTCTATCGCAGAGACTGTACGTAGTTCCCCGGTCTGCCAATACCTTTCTTCGTAGAGCTATAGCTCTGCAGTTAATGTTAAGCATTAAACAATTCCTTGACATTATGCTCTCTTTAATGGATGAATGTTAATTGATTTTCAAAGTTTTATTTTATTATATCTAGTTTATTGTTAGGGATGTGTCATTAATCATTATGATAAATAAATTCATGTTCTAGTCCTGTTTGATCAGATTATCCGCGGCAGTCAACTCGACATATTACAGACCTATTGTCACATGTAAAATAATACATTGTATTGGAATTTATCTATATATAACAGTAACATCAAATTTGCATAGCACTAGGAATATTACTAGGAAATCCTTTTGTTTATGGTTATTTGGTTTTGGGGATGAATTGTTTGCTCAACTTACATGTACTACACAGCTATTCCCCATGATGATTTAAAGCACAGGGTTTTTGACATCATTGACAGCTGCTTTTTTCAATAAAAACGGTACTCGTAAATATTGGTATTTTGCAAAATTATTTTGAAAAAAAAAATTCTGATTGTACACACAAGGACTATGAAGTTGACATCAAAACATGCTTTAGTTTTTCATTGACAAGATCTATGTGGTTTTTGGATACCAAGCCTATATATTGGAATTCACTTGTGTATCAATTGCACCCCCGGGATTAGCACATCCTATTTCTGTATTCATATGAAGCAGAACCTCGGCAAAATCTTATACACGAAAAGAAAAAAAATCACTTGCTGTTGCCTTCAAATTGAAATTTAACAACAATATTGACGACGTATTGTCAATTAACATTATGCTAATTTCCATTCTTACGAGGGGTTATCAAAAAGTTCGTGGACTGAAGTTATAAAATTAGTACTATGTAGTCTGTGTTTTCAAAATTTATTTGGAACATATAACATCAAAAAATAAAGAAATGTTGAAAAATTTAGCTTGATACGTTCATTATTTGCCAAATTATTAGAAGGTGAAAACGACATTATATGATCAACCGGCGCTGTCGTCATTTTTTTTTATGACGTCCGATAACGTCATTGTTTTTTCAATGTCCACTTTTTCTACCTCATACACTTTTTTGATGAGATTCTCTGGAGCAGAGTAAGGACTTAAACCCGTCTTGTTTACATATGACTTTACAATGTCATTAACAGTGGTCTTCAATGAATATAATATTCCACATTGATTAATACATTGGGAGAGATCTGCGCTTGATTGTGCCGGCATATTTTGCTTTTGGGAGTTCAATATCTACAACACATGATCAACGTCATTTTTTGACGTGATTGATTTTTCACACCTTGACTGCAAATCGACATTTACTGTGTATCCCTTTTCTCTATGAATCTATTTTGACACTAAAAGACAAGTACTCTGGATGCATATTATTTCTCTGTAGCCAGTTTAAACATATTTTAGGTCTATACCAGTTTTTTCAGGGGCTAAACTTTATAAAATGTTGGAAACGGAAACCCCTCACCCCTTTTGACGTCATTTTCGAGGCCTCATTTGTTTGGACATTCCGTGTAAAATTTACGATAAAATATCATAGAACATCCAAAATGAAGTGAAAATTTCATATTTTTTGGAACAATTGTTTTCCGACACATATTTGAATTAACGGGAATTTTGGATGTCAAATGATCATATCAAAAGAGTATTTTTCAGTTACAAAACAGGTCGCAAAAACTTCGTGTTCGAGGTAGCGCCGCCTGGACATACCATTGCTTACAAAAACATTACTAATTTATTAAAACATAAAATTTATGATTTATAATTTATTCTTTAGATAGAAAAGATGATGCTAAATAGATATTTTAAAATTCATTGATGTGCCTAAAGCGGTTTTAATTTCATGACTCTAGTCCACGAACTTTTTGATAATCCCTCGTATGTCAATACAATATATCCTGCTGAGCTTGATATAAAAGATAGCACAGTCTGACATGTTTCTTTCATGTTTGGATATTTTACTACATTGAAAAAGACGCTTACTGCAATATAACAACCAGACTCTATGATAAAGGTGATAAATTTTCTATGGTCAACTTCCCTTGCTTGTGCAGCAATATACCTTTCTCAAATGCACACGGATCGAGTTTATCTATCTTAGTTAATTCGTGATACGCAAAAGTATGCTATACGTGTGAACATTTTTTTGTCAAACGAGGTGAATTATTGACAAAGAAGTTGAAACAAAAATGTCAGTTCTATGGTCGATACAAGGACCTTGTTAGTAAATACAGATACTAACTCCTCCATGGCGCCTGATTTAACCTCTGATGTTTTTGAGGTCCGAGTTTGTCCTGTTCTTATTCTATATTGTTTTATGGACTTTTGATCTTGAATATAGTTTGTTATTTCCATATGATTCATACCCGATCATTGCAAGGAGCACATGGCGGGTGTGACCGTTTGGCAGGGGATGTTCATTCATATATTGCATCTGATCCCACCTCTGATGTTTTGGAGGCCCATGTTTGTTCTGCTCTTAGTTTGCTTTTGAACTTTGACATTGAATACTGTTCGTTATCTCTATACCTTTGTTTGGTTTTGAGTGCTGTTCGTTGTCCCTTGTTTCATTAGTCGTTATGTAACATATTTCGTGGTGGACATGAATTGTTTGGTCTCTTCATTCCTCAAAAAAAAAAGCAAACCTAGTTTTTTGTGATTTTACAGTAAAGTACCTCCATTGATATATATATTTGTGAAAGCAAAATTTAAAATGAAAACAAATAGCACATACATGTATGCATGCTGTATGTATTATTGTAAAGAAGAAAAATTAAAGCAGCTCTATAGGTAATTCTTGACAAATATTTACACCAACCGTTATTTTCTCAGTAATAACATTTCAGTGAAATTCAGAAAATGCCTTTATAATATAAATTGTAAAAAGTAAACACAAGCTCTCTGGTACAGTGAATTTGATATTTTATATTCCAGAAGTTCAAGAACTTCATGATCAGTGACGAGAATGGTAAGGAAATGCTTGCACTAGACGTTTTCTCTTCTTCGATATCATACCTGAAGAATGATATGTTGGAGCATTGCAAGAACCAGCTGACTGGTATAGGAGAGAATGACATCAGGTGGGTTATAACGGTTCCTGCCATCTGGAGTGAAGCTGCAAAGTCATTCATGAGGAAAGCTGCAGAAAAGGTCAGATATCTTTAAGTAATCCTCAGTAGTTGCCCACACTTTAGTTGCCATCGTACATTAAAAGTAGTAAAAATATACATTTTCTATGCTTGTGAATTTTATTGAAACAACTCAAACGCATAATTCCCTCTCTTTCTTATTATGGATCCAACAACAATCATGTATAGATACAAACTACTGTATTTAGAAGAGTATCTATATAAATGTACGAGGGTTATTAAAAAAAATCGTGGATTTCTCTCATATCTATTTTTATTACTATTATTTCACGTCATATTTTATCCAAATTTGGTAGAAATATTTTAACAATAACTTCGAATAATTCGTATAACTGTTTTTTAAACGTAACGCTTTATTCAAAACTGATCCAGATTTTAAAATATAATACAAAAATCGGCTTGCGGAGCAGATCAAAATTTAGTTACAAAAAATACACTACCTAATGTCTGCAGTCATAATTATTTTTGTTTTACGCTAGATATATCCGAATAAATTTTTTAAATGTTTGAGGAATAAAAATAATGCCACAAGCGAGTTGTGCAAGTGAGGACAAATAGTACGGCAGTATTTGAGTGACTGAGACTCTGTATCGGATGAGGACAATCAGTGAAGAAACGGTTTATCTGTAAAAATCTGAATAACAACTTTAAAAAGTTGGAACGTCAATGAAAAATATATGTGCTTCCAAGTTGCTTATCTTGTGAAAGCAGAGTTAAGTAATAAAAGAAATTGTAATTTTAACAAAAGAAATTATACATCGAGAGCAATTGTTAAAAAATTCAAGTAGTAAAAAAATGTTTTTAATGAGTGGGTATTGGAAAATACTTGATGAAATGAGAAGTGAAAGTATTTTCTAGAGATTCTTGATGCTACTACTATGTTTTGACGTTATATTGTCGTTAATTGTGGTTCCCGGGTAGGAAATCATGTTGATTTTTAAATGAAGTAAATTGATTTCTGTTAAATCGAATCGAACGGAATGAAACTTTACACATAAAAAAACGAATATTTTTTACATATTATTTTGTGCTTATTTTAAATTTCTAGTGAGTAATATAGCAAGGATTGACATCGTCCAGGAACTTTTCGAACAACCCTCGTATAATATGTAAATATAATTTATCCAATGTTTAACCCTTTATCCCGTCGATATAGCTCATGTGATATCGTTTATGTATCCCACATTTGTGAAGTCACAAAAGGTTTTGCGTTAGGTGATTAAGTACAGTGAAGTGGGGTCCTTTATAAAAACAGTCTTTAAGGAGTAGCGACCCTCTGATAAGACAGATAATTTTCAAAACACAAAATATTAATATTACTAATAGTTTTCATAATTAGGGTTTCCTAATTGAGACCTCTGAGTAGTCAATTCGATGAAATCTAACATATGATGGAAACATGTATTTCTGTTTCTTTTGCCAGTTTTTTTTTTCAAATTATTTTGTTACCGGGGTATATTTAATAATAAAACAATTCTTTCTTGTATCTTCTTAAGGATCTTTTTAAGAATGTTTTAATGTTTCAAGTACTTAATACAGAATTCTTATTAGTGCTACATTTTTTCACATGAAATATTTAACAATAAAACAATGAAATCCAACTTTAAAAGCCTTATCTTGTTTTAAAGATCCTTTTTGAAAACAAATGTAAAGTGTGTTTTTTTTTCTGGGTTGTGACTTTATATTAATAAACTAATCTTTAATTTGGGACTCGAGAAATTTATCAATCGAAGGAATGTGTATTAATAAAGCTACACTACTTTCGCTTTTGCTTTTAATATTTCAAGACATAATAAAACACACTTACCTATACTGGCGGGCAGTAAATAATTCTTAACATCTTTAACTTTTAGACACAAAATTTTTACATCTTTAAGTTATTTTTCTGCTGATTTTCAAGCATTCATTTAAATCGTATAGGTGTGAATCAAAAACTTTAAAATATTTGGCGTTACAAACGATAATAGAAAGATTTACGGAGACAACTCCTCCTACAGATGCATTTTTTTCTTACAGCAACATACAGCATTGCGATTTACTGGCTTAGGAAGCATCGCTTCATGACGTTTTCTAACATGATTTTGATAGTGTGATACTAAGTATCATTTTTATATACACCTTAATTTGTATGAAACTACGGAAATTTAACAAAGTTTAAATTTAATGTTGGGATAATAAATCGTTACTCTTTCTGTTTTCTGTGTTGAAATTTCTTCATATCACGATCTTACAAAAAATAATTTCTGAAAAAAAAATAAGTTGCACTTCAAACTATTTTTCATGTGGCTCTAATGTCATTGTTGTTCATGAAAATCAATATATGAAATTTTCAATTTTCTTAGTGTATTTTGTAGCAGAGGATCGGGACTCCTTCATATTGTTTGTAATGTACAAAACATGGGATAAAAAGAATCTTACATAATTCGTAGTTAGATTGATTGATTGGTTGCATACTGTTTAACGTCCATCTCCAGAATATTTCACTGATATGGAGACGTCACCATTGCCGGTGAAGGGCTGCAAATTTAGGCCTATGCTCGGCACCTACGGCCTTTGAGCATGGAGGGATCTTTATCGTGCCACAGCTGCTGTTAAACGGGGCCTCGGTTTATACGGTCTCATCCGAAGGACCGCCCAGTTTATAATTAGTCGCCTTTTACGACAAGCAAGGGGGTACTGAGCACTTATTCTAACCCGGATCCCCACGGGGTGATTCGTTGTTAGATATGATTTTTATCCCACGAATTGTGTGGTTTTTATTCCCCATCCTTGGCTACACGCAACTGCAGATCATGCGCAATCCTATATTTATCTCATGTTTATCCCTTTACCCAGTGGGTATAGCTCAAGTGATATCGTTTTCATATCCCACAGTTGTGATGTCACAATGAGTTTTGAGTTAGCGCAATGAAGTAAAATAAAGTGGAGCCATATATATACAAAACCTCTCTGAAACATTCATTGTGAAGTATTAAACATACCATATAAAAAATATCCCATGATTTGTACATGTAGTTGGATATGACATTTACCCAAAGATTTGTGTGTGTTATTTTTTTTTATCCCCAAACCAAGGCTCAGGGATAAAAAAAAACACATAAGACTCGTTAGATAAAAATCAATTCCAACTACAAACCATGGGAGATCCTATTTACATAATTTACAATGTATATAAACACAGTTTCATTTTTTTCGACGAAATGTCTCTCCCTCTCCAGAATTTGAATCAAATGCTGACTAACATGTTCATACTAATTGTTAATCCACTATGTGTACACTGAATTAACAACAGAGTTCTTCGTTATTTTCCGATCAAGGCAGTGCAGCTAGGTTAAGGACTTCTATATAGATTAGCCAAAGCATAGCTTCGGGAAATAGATTATGACGTCACGGTAAAACTGTACCATTGAATCACGGCGAATATATAGTAATTTTCTTTTTTTTTACACTTTCAAATACTGTCACTTTGCATAAATATTGTAAACATTATACAATTATTGCAAGATAGTGAGGGAGAAGAAATCTTCATGTCTCCCGAATATTCATGGAATAATTTTGAAATATCGAATCAAGTAGAATGCAGGAAATATGAAGAAATACAATAAGTAAAGTATACATACATTTGATGAGAACAATATGAAACAGGTGTAAGTCACACCACTAGCGCTTCATTGAAATAGCCTTCAAGACAAATTATCCTGATTTACACACTGCAGTGTAGTAACATTCGTTCCCCAATCATGGAAACACTTTTCTAATTATTTATATTTTACAATTTCATATCGACATAATTGATCAAAGATATAAACAATCGAATTCAGTAGTAATCATCGCATTCGCCGCATTGTGACGTCACAATCGTGGAACACGACGTGAAACACATTCTGCACACCTCGGCTGATTACATCTAGATGTACAATGTAGGGTACCGTAGTCAGTCGAGGTGAACCGAAGTTTTGTTGCAGGGCGAACACGACGGTCAAGTGACTATCTCAACCAATCAGATTCCTTTTTACTTGTGTTTATTCATATAGGCCTAAATAATAACTAATGTAAAACTTATCGTGCCAATTTAACACTAACTGAATATAGAAATATTTACATTTGCAAATATCTTTCTTAGATGAACCTATTGAAGAGAAAATACGTTCAATTCTGTGTGAATTTCATTTAGGGGTCAGAGGTCATAGCGGGACCGGATCACAGAGCGATGTGATATTTTGACCAAACAACTTCTAGGTTATTGCGCGTCACTACATAGCAATACGTATGCCCAATACAATTTGACTCGAAATGTATTTGTTTAAAATGTAAATATAAGTACTTTTTAATATTGTTGTTTATTTCTTAATTAAAGCTACCTTTATCTCTCCATAATGATTCACATGACGTCGTAGACTAGTTTGACACGCAGTTTTCTGTACTTGCGATATATGAAATATCATGTAAACTGCCATGGCTTTTATCCTCATATTTCACAAATATAGCAAATGGATTGTTAAATTAAATTTCTAATTATCAAAAATAATGTGCTTGTTTTAGCATATAATGTTAGAATATCAGAATATTTATACGAGGGTCGTCAATAAATAATGCAAAATGTCCTTCGATAAGGCCGTTTCTCGGCTTCATTTTCATAAAAATAAATTTCAATTTATTTTTTCAAAATTTGTTTAGAATTTAAGATGAGTATCTTAATTTTTGTTATTAATATTTCAAAAGTTAATATGATAAATCACACCGTGACACAAACTTAGATGTACCCGCAAATGCGTTAACATTAGGCCTATGGGAAAATATAAGAGGGTGGCATTTATAAACGATTTTTAGAATATGAAGTTGCTCACCTATTTTTGCCCAGTTATTAGATATTGCACACTAATAGTTTACAATATGATGAGTGTCCGTGTGCATCTCTCCAAAAATTAAAAATTGTTTAAAATTTGCACTAAAATGACTTCTGGTTACTTGATCATACACCAGGTTAAAATGCCAAAAGTGGCACATTTTTAAAAGCAAAGTTTTCTTGAAAATATTAACAATATATGAAATATCATGTAAACTGCCATGGCATATTTAACGTCATATATTTCACAAATATAGCAAATGGATTGTTAAAAATTTTTAAATTTATATTTATCACAAATAATGTGCTTGTTTTAGCATCTTTTTATAATGTTAGCAATGCCAATATCATGAATATTTATACTTGGTTCGGAGGGTCTGACTTACATTTCAATAAAGATAATGCAAAATGTCATAAAGTAAATTCAAATTTATTCAAGTTATGACATTCCTTAACGTTCTGAATCAAACATATATCAGAAAAAATATCATATTAGGAGAGACCCTCTCAATGAGATAAAAAGTTTTATAAAGGAAAACATATGTGTGCTATTTTTCTGGCATTTATTGTATTTTTATCACCATAAAAGGTTTTTAGAACATAAGCATCTTTAAGTTGTTTTTTAAAAATATACTTTTGTATAAAATTATTTCACAGGCTGGGATTTAGTTTTCTACCTGCAAGTATAAGTAATCAAAAAACATGTAAATTCCAATTTAATAATTGAAAAATCATTGAAGGAAACAAAATACAAATATGATCTAACTGCAGCATTAACTTAGTGTGTTTGAAAAAAAACAACATCCTAAAAACAAGTTTATCAAAGTTTGCAAGCAAGCGGAGAAAAGTGATGGTAAACTTGGAGACAGTCCCTCTGGTTTTCGGTAGGGGACTAATAATTGTTCTTGATAAAATATAGGATACATAAATACATTGTGTGCTTTTGAAATAATATAAATGTGTACTTGCATTTCAGGAGGAAATCCATTTGTTTTTCAAAGCATGATTAAAAATTAAATTCAATAATAATATAATTTCACAATAAAATTTGCGCTATAAAGAAGTACTGTAAATTACACTCAAAGTTGCATAAATTTGACTCGGGAAAACCTAAAATGATTATTATATTCAAATATAAAAGTAAATAAAAGATACTGTATATATATTATAACTTTTAAAGAAAAGTTACAATTAAAATAAAAAGCAACTGTAAAATTAATATAGAAATTGGTTATTTGATGTCATCACATTATCATTTCAGATATTTAGAAAAAATTAGTTGTACACAAGGAAATAAAAAATGACCAGAAAATGTATAAATTACAACAATCTACAACATATCACAATATATCCGTCGTGTAAACATTCAAGTTATGACTCAGGAGTAGGGAGAGACCTCTCAATGAGATAAAAAGTTTTATAAAGGAAAACATATGTGTGCTATTTTTCTTTTTTGGTATAAAATTATTTTTTTATATCTTCTGGCAGTGTGTTTGTAAAACAACAGTAGCAGATGTTCCAAAATACATGTACATAGATTCATAATTTCCTAAAATTAAAAAAAAAAAAAAATAAAAGTGTTCATTACACAAGGAAATAAAAAATGTGAATATATCGTATGTTAACAAAGTATAATTTATTGTTTTGCAAGAATTCTTGTCAGTACAGAGCATTGTACCTTATCCTCACCTTTTCATAGAGACAGGCATTAGAGGAAATTCAAACAACTTACAATCTCGAAACTCGTGTATTCGAGCAATAATTTTAACATTTCTTTACAACATGGTGAAGATTGTATTAACATTATTAAGATAATTATAGAAAGATAATATATGTTATAAAAGAATTATTTGTAATCCCTGTCGTTTGTGCTAAATATCTAATCTTTTTTTTTTCTATCTAATTACAATTTGTTTTAATTTTTATTGGAAAATAAGAGTTTCTGTGGAGTTTCTGTGGACGGTTTTCAAGATATTTTACAAGTACCATACTGCTGTGAAGATTAAAAACAAGTATTTTGTGAAATTGATATTTTAATCATCTATGCTCAATTATTATTATTTTTTTTTTGAAAATAAAATTACCAACATGATTGGGATTTTTAGGCCGCGTATACATGATAGTGTTGTAAAAATGAAATATATAGAGATAACGAACAGTATTAAAGATCAGAAGTCCAAAAAACAATAAAAATAGGAGAAAAACAAATACGAACCTCCAAAACATCAGAGGTGGGTTCAGGCGCCATGGAGGAGTGAGCATCCCTTGCCGACCGATCACATCCGCCGTGTGCTCCTTGTCATGGTTGGATGATAACGGAACAATCTGTTGTCAATGTAATGGTTAAATAATGGACTAACAATAAGTATGAAAAAGTCAGTCAGCATTTGACTCAATAATAAATTTTATTTGCTGACAAGGGCATTGTATTGACCAATGATCTTACGAAATGATGACTTTGATATGCCGAAGCTGATATTTTTGTTTCATCGTAGCTCATGTTCATAAATCTCTTCAAAATGATGTTTAAACAATAGATCTTACGATTAACATGCTCATTAAAATCCGTGATATGTAAAAAGTTTCAAGCAAAACCTGCGACATAATTTTTCTTCTTAGTTAAAATCCGTCTCCTTGGGATACGGATTCAATGCCTCCGCACGAGTTTAAGTGTGCAAGAATTTCTCATTATCAGAATCAGATTCTGTGACCTTGTCTTCGGTATGGAGAACCCTACAACCTTTTTAGCTCACCTGAGCCGAAGGCTGAAGTGAGCTTTTCTGATCAAATTTTGTCCGGCGTCCGTCTGTCCGTCTGTAAACTTTTCACATTTTCGACTTCTTCTCAAGAATTACTGAACCAATTGAAACCAAACTTGCCACAAAGTATCCTTATGTAAAGGGGATGCAAGTTTGTTCAAATAATGGGCCACGCCCTATGGGTTTCAAGTTTGTTTAAATGAAGGCCCACGCCCTATTCCAAGGGGAGATAACTGAAAAATTACAGGCAATTATCAAAAATCTTCTTCTCAAGATCCACTGGGCCAGGAAAGATTGAAACTTATGTAGAAACATCCTGAGGTAGTGTAGATTCAAAATTGTTCAAATCATGACCTCCGGGGGTAGGGCGGTGCCACAATAGATGATATAAGTTTAACATAGGAATATAAAGGAAAAATCTTCTTCTTGAGAACAGCAAAGCCATGATTGGTCATATTCATATGGAAGCATTCTAAGGTAGTGTAGATTCAAGATTGTTCAATTCATGACCCCTGGGGGTAGGACGGGGCCACGATGGACGATCAATGTTTTGCATAGGAGTATAAAGGAAGAAAATCTTCTGAAGAACAGCAAAGTCATGATTGGTCCTGTTTGTATGGAAGCATCCTCAGGTAGTTTAGATACAGAAATTATTAAAATCATGACTCCAGGGTTGGGTGGGACTACAATAAAAGTTCAAACTTATAGGGAAAAAGCCACAGTTAGTCAAAAAATATGTGAGCATACTTAGTTAGTGTAGATTCAAGGTTGCTTAGATATAAGTTTGTTCAAATCATACCCTCTTTTAGGATAGGGACCACTTAGGCATTCACTAAATTGATGTGGTCCATGGGCATATTGTTTCAAATCCGTACCGGTTTCCTGACTTAGCCGTGACCAAGCCTTGTCAAGACTGCCTAACAATTTCGTTCGATTTTGTAATCATTTCCGTCAAAATTATAAAATATAAATTTTGTAATCTTTCCATTTTGGTGTAAATTATGACATAATAATTTGCTGGCGATTTATTTTCGTGTCATCTGAAAAGATACTTGTTATTTCCTTGAAAGCTTTTCATCAAATTAAAATTGCCTCTTTTATGCATTTTATTATGCATTACTTGATATTAGGTTAAACTTATGCTTTATAAATTTTCGTAAGCCCAAAATTTTTCGGAGGAGATAAAAATACTCATTTTCTTTTTTATTATTAAAACAAAAATTTATCAGGAAATACATAAATATATGCATGTCAAAATCAATTGATTTTTTTTCTCGAATCAAAAGCGTCCAGAACTCTTTATTGGGGCTAATTGGAGCTTCCCAAATTTAAGTATCAGTGACCTTTACTGATAAATTTTATTTTGTTTTGAAAGGTGGAACAGTCGATATCACTGTCCATCAAGTTGAAGAGGATGGAAAAATTAAAGAACTGAAGATTTCAGCTGGCAACAAATGGGGCGGAACAAAAGTCGACAAGGCATTTTTTTCTTTCCTAGAAAGTCAGATTGGAGGACATTCCCTGAAGAAGTATAAGAGGGAAGAAACATGCGACTTTGTTGAATTATACCAGGATTTCGAATTGAAAAAAAGACAATTAAATGAATCCATTAATTTGCGAATTCCCTCTTCCTTACGAAGTCTGATTAGTCAGTCCACCACCAAATCAAAATTCACGCTGAAATTTTGGAAAAAAAGTGGTTCAGAGAATAAATTTAATAATGATTCAGTAACTTTGAAAAATGACAAACTAAAATTGAAGAGCGAGGTAGTATATGGATTCTTTGAAAAATCGGTCGCTGAAATTTGCAAACTTCTTGGAGACATACTTAAAGCTACAAAAGCAGATTACATTCTTATGGTTGGTGGCTATTCGGAATCAAAAATACTCCAGGATGCTGTCAAACATGCCTTCTCGTCCAACTCACGAATAATTATACCACGAGAAGCCAGTCTCTCCGTTCTAAAGGGGGCAGTTATTTTGGGACATGATCCAACCATTATCAGGGAACGTATTTGCAAGAACACATACGGAGTTGTTTGTTCCACCCGATTTGTGGATGGAATCCATCCAAATGAATATAAATTTTGGAAAGACGGAATGTGGTGTTGTGGATATATTTTTCAAAAGCAAGTAACAGTTGGCCAAACAGTAGTCGTTGGTGAATATCAAACAGAAGACATATTGACGAAATTTTCAGACAGCGAAGATTTATCTATTGCAATCTATTTATCCCCTAATGAGGATCCCAAGTACGTGACTGACCAAGGATGCTCGAAAATAGGTGTCTTAAATCTGAAAGTTAAGGATGGAAGACACCTTGGCAATAGTAAAATTAAGATTGAGATGTCTTTCAGTGGTACGGAAATCCAAGCCAAAGCCACGTGTATGGCAACGGGAGCGGTTGCTGTCGTCTACTTAGATCACCCTCCTTAAATCAAAAAATGTAAAAGTCACATCAGGCTCATACATTGTAATATACAGCTCCCGTGGATAAGCGCAAGTGTCGTCTACTTAGATCATCCTATTTAAATCAAACTATCGTTAAAATCAAAATCAATTTCATACACTATTATATACAATCTCCGTGGATAAGCGCAAGGGATCTGTGAAAATTATATGGTGTACTTTAAGGTCGTTCGTGTTCGAGAGAATCAAGGATTAGACACTGCATACCAGTTATCAAATTACATTTTTAAAAGTATATACATGTATCAATGTAAGAATTAACCCTTTTAATCTATAAATATGCACAAGTCCTTTATATGTAAATCATGGTACCCAGCAGAAAGACACTGGTCTGATGAGCTCATGAATGTTTTAAGAGAACATTGACTCCTGTAGATTTTTAAACGATTGTTTTTTTTCTTTATTTTTTTGGTATTTGCTATTTTTTAAAGTGCCTCACATAATTGTTATATAGATCTACATGAAGATTTAAGTCTATTCTTCATTGCCATGTCATACATGTACAAAAATTTATTCAGAAAGAATTATTTATGTACTTATTGTTAAAAAAAATGTTCAAGAACTTTAACGACTCAATCAAAATTGCATGTAATGTAAAGTATTGCCTTTAAAGATATTTTGCCTTATATTCTAATTTTGTTAACAGTACCAAGTATGTTCTTTCAAATATAAAACTAACTTGATAAAATTTAGCTTCATTCAGCTTTATTTAACTTTATTTAGTTTTAAAATGTTTACATTGTTTTGCCTTTAAATTTTATTTTGGAACATATTGACATACTCATTTGAGGCAGAATTTGTGCAAAATCTTGTGCGTGAAAAGGAAGAAAACACTTGCTATGGCCTACAACTCGACATTCAGATAAATCGGCGACGCATTGTCAATTTACAATGCTAATTTCCATTCATATGGCGATAAGATATATCCTGGTAAGCTTGAGATAAAAGATAGTGCTCACAGAGTCTGACACATCTGTTTCATACTTGGATATTTTACTTGAAATGACGTTAATGGTAATGTAACAACCAAGCTCTATGATAAACATGATGACTTTAATTTTTCTATCGTCAACTTCCCTTTCTTATGCAGCAATTATACTTCATCACCTGTATAGGGAGTTTAAATATATCACAGTTGATTCGAAACGCATGACCATGCTCAACGTATAAAAATTTCTTAAACGAGGTAAATTATTGATCCCATCTCTGATGTTTCGGAGGTCCGTGTTTTCTCGGTCCTTCGGCTATTCAGTTGACCTAGATTTCTTATTTCCCATTTTGGATTTTATCTATGTAATGACATACAAACTTATTTGTATGTGTTTTCTGGGATTTACAGAGTCGATTATTAAATTATTTACAGATCCCCTGAAAAGTTGGTATAACTTCACCAATCTGATTAAAATACAGATCTCTACGTAGCCCTTGGTAGGTCGGTTTTACTTCACTTATTTTAATTTTTTGTAAGTTAACTAAGGAGAAGGAGTGGTCTAAGTAACAGTGGTGTTATTTACCTGAAAACCCCCAATTACCAAGATGTCAAAATCTATATACACGTAGCAGTACACAGGAAGTCTGTGTTTGGTAATTATTTGGCAACATTACGTGTATCGTGTCTAATTTTGAGTAAAACTACTAACTAATTTTCATTTAATTATTTCAATGCAAAATTTATTTGTAAACTATATATAAACGCAATCATTCCAACCTTTGGAAGGAATTAAAGAAATATAAAGAAAGATATTGTTTATAATTTTTTGTAAAAATAAAGAAATGATCACGAGTAAAGACTGCAAAGCAGTCATATCTTATTTTTTTTTAAATCTTCAATAAATGAATTCGTATGATTTTATTTGTGAATATTTAGATTTTAAAAAAATTATTTAATCTGTTCATTACAAATTTAGAAAGATATCAGAAAAATTCGAGCAATAATTCCATCATTTCTGTAAATCGTTTATTGTTTATTGTTTAACGGCACGTCGACTTCCAGTTACGGCAAGTCAAGTTTGAAATAGTTTCTGTTGACGGCCTTAATTCTACAGCTATCTCGGACGAAAAATTCTTACAAGTAAAGATTGAAGACAAATAATCTATGAAGTCAATCTTAAATTAAATTATCTCCTCTCATTTTTTGTTTTACCTAAAATTATCAACATTACTGATTTTTAACCAGCGTGTATACAAGGCGGGTACATGAAAATGTTTGACGCATGACCATACAATTGTCTTCAAAACAAGCAAACTCAGATTTTCAGGTAACACAGGTAGCTGCAGCTGGGCTGTTAATCAAAAACAGGAGCTATTGTTTTTTTTCTGTTTTTTTTTTATCTTGAAAGATTTTGGGGGCGTTAACATAAAATTGGGTGTTTAAGCAAAAAGAAATGATATATATACATATGCACTGAATGTGCCTTTTTATGGAGAAGCTTCTGAATTTATAGCAAAATTGTATTTTTTTTCTACGTACAGATTAAAGTTTTTTTGGTACAAGGACATTTTATACCACACCTGCTTGTTTCCCTTTTCCGATCCATATGCCGTCTTTCTTGCAAAAGAAAAAAGTTTTGTTTTCTTCAATTTAAAGATAAGTAAAATACAAATGGGTCATTATCTATTGCTTGAGCACTATTTGACCTAGCTGAGAATTGATAAGATATGGTGTAGTGCATGTTGTCAATATAGAACGAAGCAAAAGTATCACAACAAATATTTGAGGAAATTTGATGGCATTCTGAGCCCACTGGACAAGATGCATAGAAGAATTATTCTCTGGCTGGTGATAGTAGGTAAAAATGATTGATACTTTTAAACGAAACGAATATTTTCAATTAAGAAGGATATGGAGATAACGAACAGTATTCAATATCAAAGTTCATAAAACAATACAAAATAGGAGCATAGCAAAGTCGGACCAACGAAACATCAGAGGTGGCATCAGGTGCCATGGAGTGAGCATTCCCTGCTAAAATAACGAATGTCAGGTTCATTTTTCTAAGGCGTCATATGACATCTATTTTTCCATTGGTCATGTGAAAAATAATTTTGTTAAAGAACACTCTGATTGTACACACAAGTACTCTGAAGTTAATATTAAAAATTACTTGACTGTCAGTTTAAAAAAAAATCTACAGTATGTGCAGTTTGTTGGAAATCTTCTAACAATCTGTTGGAATATGCATTTTTCGAACAAAATTGTATCGCCATTATTACCATTCAATTGTGTACGGATTCTTCTGTATGTCCAATCATAACAAGGAACAAATATTGCACATATAGTATGGGGGTTGACAAGAGAAGCTTACTCCTCCATGACACTTGATCCCACCTTTGATATTTTCCCATGAAAAGAGGCAAAATTAGGTTCTACAGTGCCGAATTCATAAAATTTTAAGCAGTGTCGATTTTTCAAAATCGGAGATTTTTGCAATATCTGAACAAGAAAGACTGCATGCACGTACATAATGTTCATGAATTAAGAATCAATATTAATAAGATCAGATTCAAAGTGTTTGTGTTAAGGAACAGAATGCTTTTAAACATCTGTTTGTAAATGACCAATGAGAGGATACTCACATTTGTTGGGTTGTTATTTGCATATGGAAGAAACATTTGAAAACGATTTCAAAGTCTAATTTTTCATAACATGAAACATTTTTAACATGAGGACAATTGTGTGATTTCAAACTTTCTAAAAGTTTTTGTATCTTTAAATATAAGTTTATTATCTGCATATTATAGTCACTATTTCCTGAAGGCATTGTTTTACTGACTGTTCTGTCGAGGCTTTATCTTCACAGATGTTAATATTTTCGTGAGGAGTGAAACAACAGCTTAGGCTTAGTTGAATTATGTTTGCTTGTGAGAGATTTTAATGACATTTAAGAATCCATTTAAGGTATAGTTATTTAAATCCAATGTGTTGTTTGAAACATGGAAAATGTGATACAAATGAAAAATTGGTGGGTCGTCCGTGTCGAATAAGCTAACGTAAAATAATTCGTAATTTTGACCCTTATCTTATGGAATTTATTCGAATTTAATATATCTACTTTGGAAATAAAATTTATTAATTTTCAATCAATGAACTAAATGATTAATTCCCTATCATTTTAGACAAAGACAATTGATGTTCTAAAAATTTAAAAAGTATATAAATAAAAATTTTTCTTTCCGTCGTTGATGGAAAAACCAACAAAATGGTGACGTTATCAACGACAACAATGTCAACTACAGACTCAGAGTCCGTCTGTCCGTCTGTCTGTCTAGCTGTCCGTCTGTCTGTAAACTTTTCACATTTTTGACTTCTTCTCAAGAACCGCTAAGCCAGTTTCAACCAAATTTGCCACAAATCATCCTTGGGTATAGGGAATTCAAGTTTATTTAAATGAAGGGCCACGGCCTCATTCAAGGGGAGATAATTGGGAATTAATGAAAATTTGGTGGCATGTTTTAAAAATCTTCTTCTCAAGAACCACTGTGTCAGGAAAGATGAAACTTATGGGGAAACATTCTCAGTTAGTGTAGATTCAAATTTGTTCAAATCATGACCCCCGGGGGTAGGGCGGGGTCAAAATGGCCGACCAAAGTTTTACATAGAAATATATAGGAAAATTCTTTTAAAATCTTCTTCTCAAGAATAACAAAGCCATAATTGATCATATTTATATGGAAGCATCCTCAGGTAGTGTAGATTCAAGTTTGTTTAAAAAATGACCCCGGGGGTAGGGCGGGGCCAAAATGGCCGACCAAAGTTTTACATAGAAATATATAGGAAAATTCTTTAAAAATCTTCTTCTCAAGAATAACAAAGCCATAATTGATCATATTTATATGGAAGCATCCTCAGGTAGTGTAGATTCAAGTTTGTTTAAAAAATGACCCCGGGGGTAGGGCGGGGCCAAAATGGCCGACCAAAGTTTTACATAGAAATATATAGGAAAATTCTTTTAAAATCTTCTTTTCAA